TGTCCACTCTAGGTCAAGCTTTCACAGATTTGTCTTTGTGCACCTTTCAAAAGGCATCATACTAATGGGGTTGGGTAACCATATATATTTAGGTTATTCTTTTTCTCCACTTCCTTCCGATGTGGGATGAAGTTTGCACCTCAACAAACCTCTTCTCAAACTCAGACCACACAATGTTATGACCTCCCCTTCAGCAATTATCCATTTGATCTGAACATCATCTTATATCGCCGCTACTCGCCTGCGGGACACATCGCCCGTTCTTCTCTTGTCGGGAAGAGTTTCAACACAAGGTAAATCGTAGACCACCAATCTGCTAAGGTCACACCACTCGATCTGCCAAATCATCTCGTACCACCATTAACTCCAAACGGGACACGCCGCCCGATCACCACTTGTTAGGAAAACTTTCGATACAAGGCACCACATGCAGATATTCAATCAGGTTGTCACATCAGGCACACCGAGAACTCCACACAATGCAATCTGTCACTCCGGCCTGCACTAACTAGGGCTCCGATACGACATGCATATTGTGACCGCACGGGCTATCACGGTCTCCAATGCATGTTGTGACCGCACGGACTATACGACATGCATGTTGTGACCGCACGGGCTATCACGGCCTGCACTAACTAGGGCTCCGATACGACATGACGTCGCAACGCTTAATTGCGAGAGAAAATAAGCCATTTGCGACGGAAATATTCCGTCGCAAAAAGCTGAAATTCTTGTAGTGCCTCAACCACGCATTAGTTTGGTATTGTCTGTTTTGGGTCAAGTTCTCACGGATTTGTTTTTGGGCACCTCCCAAAATCAGGTTGTCACATCAGGCACACCGAGAACTCCACACAATGCAATCTGTCACTCCGGCCTGCACTAACTAGGGCTCCGATACGACATGAATGTTGTGACCGCACGGGCTATCACCTCAACCACGCATTAGTTTGGTATTGTCTGTTTTGTGTCAAGTTCTCACAAATTTGTTTTTTGGGCACCTCCTAGAAAGCCTCATATAAATGGGGTTGGGTAAACCATATATATCGGTTATTCTTGTTCTCCACTTCCGATGTGGGATGGAGTTTGCATCTTAACAATATACTCTCTCATCTCGTGTTTTTAAAATAGTTTCACTTTCATTTTTTGTGCATCACAATTCACACAATATATTTGTATCCTGACCTAAAATGTACTTCGTATAAAATACACCATTTCATTTTTATCGTGAGTAGAAGTTATTTGGGGTATTTTAGACATTTTAGATGCATGAGATAGAATATTTCATACGATGCGCAAAAATTGAAGGTGAACTGTTTTTAAGAAAAAAGAGGAGGGAAAAAACATATGATGATTGATGAGGGGTTTCATTCACAAATCACAAACTTGTTTTGTTTTTTATTTTTAGTTGGTTAGTTCTTCACATTAATAGATGGAGTAATAAATTACGAGTAAATCAATTGCGGAGTATATTAATTCAAGCTCGTCGTCCTAGCTAGCCAACTCAAGGGTTGTGGTGCATGTATTTGTTTGGATGGTTGAAGATGCAATGGGGTTTAATAAGCTTAAGGGATGGTGCAGGCACGCAGGCAGGGATCTTTGTCAACTTTTTGACAGCTTCTAGCTGTCCGTCCTTGAGATGATGTAAATGTCATGGCCAGGAAATAATGGTTTTGTGCCCAACCAGGTGGTAAATTTTTATCCAGCTATATTGCAATGCAAGAAGAATATACTCCCTCCGTTTGAAAAAAGTGTTTCTATTTTGACTTTGTGTAAAAATAAGGAAGTATTAAATTGTAGTTGACTTCCAATTTTGCCCTTGATGTGATAGGTAAAAGTAAGATGTGATGGATAGATTATTAGAGATAAAGTAGGATGTGATAGGTAGGGTATGAAAAAGTAAGGGTAAAAGTGGTTTTTTAATAGAAAGTGGAAGTGTTTTGTTGGAAGTGAAAAAATGAAAGAGGAAGTGTTTTAAAAAACGGAGAGAGTATTACTCAGTACCATCCCCTTCATTTTACTATTACCTCTATCCACAAATTATCTTCCCGTTCATTTTTCAATAGATCAAACTTTATTCATTTTGATTAGAGTTGGCAAATCGGTCGGTTAGATCGGGTTCGGGTTCGGTCACTTCGAATTCAGGTTATTTTGGGTTTGGATTGAAAACTGTATGTTCATGACCCTGTGTCATCGGGTTCGGGTCAATCCAACGGGTTATGACTTAGATTTTTTAAAATTTTAAATTCACATAAACATTTGCATTTTCTATTTAATAAATTTAAAATATCAAAAAAATGTATTAGATCTATTAGATTATTTTATTTTAAATGCTAAAGTAATTTTTAGATATCTGAATTAATATAAGGAAATTAAAAAATGATTAAGTTTTACAAAAAAGTAAGATAATTATGTAATGTTATTTCAAAAAAATTTGAAAATATAAATTTATATACTAAAAACGAGTAGTAAAATGTATGATTTTGAAAAATTATTACTTTAGCGGGTCGGGTTCGGTCAGGTTTGGCTCATTTTTAGTGGGTCATTTCGGGTTCGGTCATCAAAACCTTTGTTCAAAACCCAGTATATTTTCAGGTCGGGTTTCGGGTCAAAAAGAGGTCGGGTCATTTTTTGTCAGGTCTTATTTTGATGGTCTATTTACGTTGCTCAATTGATCAAATAATATAGTTATGTCACCTCTAGTTTTGTAGATCTTTTTGATATAGTTTTGAAATGTGAAATTTGCACTAAATAGAACTAAAACATAATGACTTTCCTAATATAGGACTTAAACTTTTTTATTTTCTAAATAGGACTTAATAATGACCTAGTGGAAGGAATAATGTCCACTAATGATGGACATTTAGTTGAATAATGACTACTTGATAATGACCAAAGGTCCTACATTGAGAAATAAAAACATATGGTCCTATATTGGGAAAGTCATTATGTTTTAATCCTATTTAGGTAAATTTCTCTTTTGAAATATGTTATTTTTATTTTTAGTGCCACGCTATTTTTCATATAAAATGATTTAAAAATGGGCAATGCTACGTTCACAAACAAAAGGATCACAAATTTCACAAACTTACTATTTATGGTTTAAATTATCATTTTAAAATTATTTTAGACTATTTAATTTTCTTTATTGAAGTTCACAAATGGTAAGTTTGTGAAGTTTGTGAAGCTTGAGTTTGTGAACCAAGCATTTTTCCTTCAAACTTCACAAACTTACCATTTGTGAACTTCAATAAAGAAAATTAAATAGTCTAAAATAATTTTAAAATGATAATTTAAACCATAAATAGTAAGTTTGTGAAATTTGTGATCCTTTTGTTTGTGAATGTAGCATTACCCAATACATTGTAAACAAAACAAGCTCTATTTTGGTGCCGCTCATAATTAATTTCGTCTTGATATTTTAAATATAATTAATGAGATGTCGAAAAAATTATGAAGGCATAGCATAGCATGTTTGCCCCTAGGGTTGTGTATATGGGACTATGAGAGGTAGTAGCCTCTGCTGAGAGATGTGCAAGTCAGAAGAGCAATAAAGCACACATGTGGCTCTCATCACTACTACCATTTTTATTGATTTATTGATTTTATTCCAACATTATTATTAATTTATTATACTCCCCTCTCCCTGTCTTTCTCCCTCTCTTTCAAATTCTAGCTCAAAGCTAAGTCATTACATATGGGTTCAAATTATACATTACCACGTTCGTGAATAAATGCTATAATTTGATTTCACAAAATTTTATAAAATTTTTTAAAAGGAAAAAATGGGTAGATAAAATTTATTTAGAATGAAGACAAATGATGTAGCCACTCCTCTTGTGGTTCAGCGGAATCAGTGTTCGTAGCTATCCCAAATAGAGGTCATGAGTTCAAACCTAATGACGCTAACTCTCTGAGTTTAGATAAATTAAGAAATTAAAAGCATGTGTGAACGTATATTACAATGTAGTAGAGTTATTACTTATTAGTCTTAAAAAATGTAGGCCACTCATTCTTTTTCATATACTGGCTGGTATCACAATTTTCATTATAATACATTCACTATTAATATCTATATAGCTATAATAATACATAGATTTAAAATTGCATTCCGAAATGTATTTGTTGATATTATGTTTATATATTAAATCTTGAGTTTTCTACGTCATTTACAACTGAATTTTTCATAAAGTCCATATTTTCTTCCTGAATTTTAAAAAATACACCATTAATCCCTAATTCTTTTAATAAAGTGCATATTTTAGCACCAAGCTCTTTAAAAAGTGCATGTTGTCCTTCTGAACTTCTAAAATTGTTGCATCGTTGGTCCCTATATTTTTCATAAAATGTATCCTTTTAGTCTAAACTTTCAAAAGTATATCATTGGGTCTATATATTTTTAAAAATGGTGCATGATTGAAACCTTAAGAGCTTCTTTTGGTTTAACATTGTATTTAACCAAACTTGAATAAAATAATAGGACTAATGGTGCACTTTTGAAAATTTCGAGAGGAAAGCACACACTTTATGTATAGTAGAAGGACTAATGTTGCAGTTTTAAAAGTTCAAAGGGAAAACGTGCAGTTTTTAAAGAGCTCGAGGGTAAAACAAGCACTTTAGGAAATTTAAAGACACTACTAATGTATTTTTAAAAAAAAAGTTCAGGGAGAATACATGCATTTTATGATGAGTTCACGAGTAAATAATGCAAAAATCTCAATAATTTTCTTAATTTGTAACCAAAATTTATAAATTTGAAAAAGAAAAAACAAACAAGAAAAGAAACTAATAGCTTTTTCACGCCCTGGAGCGGAGTACTAGTATCAAATGCAGATTATAAAAAAGCTAGGGGTGTATCATCATCAGTATAGAATTTGTACATCACGTTGTCACAGACGCACACATCCATCAACAATTTGGGTGCGATCACATACAATTGTTGCCCGTTAATGTCTGTGTTAAAAACGTGATCTATTTAATCGGGGTACAAATATTGGTGTACCCTTAGCAAACCCCACTAAATATTAACCCCTCCCCCTCCCATCTATATATGGTTTTAACCATACATCATATCTTCCTTTCATTAATTCCTTCTCATTCTCATTCCAAGAAAAACACTACTACAAGCTCGCTCACATCCAAAAACACCATAAACAATGGAGACTACCTCCCAAATCTATGCAGAAGAAGAATGCCACAGCTGCGAATCCGGGTGGACGATGTACATCGGCTCCCCTCCCAACTACTACGACTCCTCCCCGTCCTTCTCCCAAAAAGAAGATGATGATGTCGACGACGAGCTCGTCATCGACAAAGACTCCTATGACGAAAACAGCGATGACTCAATGGTCTCAGACGCCTCGTCGGGCCCCACCCGCTACTGCATGCCGCAGCAGCGGGCCCGCGGCCCGACAGAGGCGGTTGATGATGATAAGACCAGCAAAAAAGTTAGGATTGATGATGGTGATGATGAGGATGAGGCAAAGGTGAGTTGGTCGTCAAATTACATTATTGCTCCCAAGATGAAGAAGAAGAAGAAGATGGAGAAGAATGGGGGAAAGGAAGAGTGTGTCCATAGTGCAAAAGGAGGTGTTGCTGATTCCAAGATGGAGAGGAAGAAGAGTTGGAGGCTAGGGTAAAAAAGGAAAGTGATGATTAATATTCTGAATTAACTACTCGTAATTCCTTGATTAATAATGTGATCTTATATTAGTATTATTAATTAGTGCAAGGTAGAATGTGCTAATTGCCAATTCATCTCAATGAAACCCAGACATTAATTCCAAGATTTTCTCATTTGAGATCTTTAATTCATTGTACTTCACACTACATATAATTCATCATGTTTTACTAGTTAGTGGGTGGTTGGGATTGATTTTAAAAATATTATATTTTCAGTTTTTACTTTGGATTAAAATAATTTGAAATATTTGGGATGTCTAGTTTTCAACTTCTTATATGAATAGAGAAGCAAAAACCCTTTCTAATACTACTACAGAAAGTGGTTTTAGCATCGGTTATTAAAATATGAGTAATTATTTTTTGTATGTATAAGTTAAACACGCCCAAATGCCCTCTAATTCTTTGTCATCAATTCAACTTTGAGAAACATGAAGTTTAGTTTCTCATTAG